TTGTTGCTTGGGAGAACAAAGACTCACATAGCCCAGGCTGGCCTTGAATTCCTGATTCTCCCATCCCAGCTCCTGAAGTGCCACCATTACAGGTGTGCTCCGCCATGCCTGGCTTTCTGGGTCTTTTCTGTGAAGTCTGCTCTAAAGCTCACCCCCTGGGGGAAAGGAGCTATTTGGGGTGAATATAAAGCATCCCAAACACACCCTCCCGACTCACCCCAGGCTCTGAGCACAGCATCCTGTACACACCTGCCTCAAGGAGCAGCGCTGAACTAGAAAACTCTGAAGACAGATTTTAGATTTAGCTTTCTCTGACAGTGTTGAGCAGAGGGAGGACCGAAAGGGAGGACCATGGGCTGGGGTAGAGATGGGTTCCCACTTGAATGAGGGTCCCACAGGATACAGCCCTTGCTCTCTGTTATTTTAAAGAGCTTGCAGAGTGGCCAGGGCTTGGCGTTTGTGGGGTCAGATAGGAGAAAAACGACCACCCTCCCAATTCACTGCCATCCCTGCCACCCCTCTGTACCTCAACTCCCCCTCCCCCAGAGCATGGAAAAACTCCAACCTGCCTTCATTTCTATGCTTAAGAATTACTCCATAGCTGTTTCATAAGGCAATAAAATATGCAGCTATACCCTTACAGAAAAGTTACAGCCCCTGGCTGGGCACGAGCCCATGTGTTTAAGGAGGAAAATGAATTCACCTCAGAGGACGATGAAGTCAGAGCTAGCACAAAGCAGGCTCTGCCACGACAGACTGTGAAGTCTGTGACCTCAAAGGGACATCTGTGCAGGTTTTAGAGCGGAGACAGAGAAACTGGGGCCCTTGGAGGGACCGAGAAACTTGAGGCAGTAACACAGAACAGGAGAGCTACACAGCCTGTGATGAATGATGCACACCCTTGCTTTCCTGAACCCTGGGAAGGTCCCAGACATGTCACCTGGGCACAGAGAGCCCTGAAAGGCAAGAGGAAGACAATGGGCCAAAGCCAGACATTTGCAACCGCGGGGCCCTGGCTACTGCACCTCACATGTGTGCGTTATTCTTGCGCCATCCGCTCTTCTGCATAAAATGGCACTAGCCCTACAGATGTAGACTGGGGGTCAGACCTGAGAGGTGGGCTCAGACACTTTTACAGGCAGGCCATTATGCAAATGCAGGTGCCACTTTTTAGAGCGGCTGAGAAGCGGGCCTTTCCTTTTGGGCTTGTTTTGCTTAATAATGACATTTTTAAGTGGCAGTGTTTTGTGTTCGTTGTCTCAGGCAGCTGCTCTGACTACTTGATCACACATTGCTTAACAATCTGAAGAGGGAGCTGAGAGCCCTTTCCAGTGTTCCTAATGTGTGGGCTTCTGCTCAAACTCCCGGAAGGACATTTGAGACCACAGCTCCTATTGCCCAGCTCAGTGGCTCGGGGCCATGCATGGTTGTCATGTAACAAATGAATCTGGACCAATCACAAACTATATGCCCGGCCAGGGGACTGACTGAAAACGCAATTTCTTGTTGGCAGCCGTTCCACAGAAAACACCGCTCTGGCAACATTTTGGGTCAATCAGTTCAAATAAAATACATTCTTCAGATTAACTTCACCTGTTTCTGCTTAGGCTGTTCCTGTGGCTACTAGAAAATCAGCAGCCAGGCATATAACTCATGTTTGCTCTCCTCCGCGCGGCGCTGCCACCGCCACTTAGAGGCCGGGGAGAGTGATGGTCTCAGTCAATGAAGCCGATTCAGGATGAGCTCCCAGGTGCCCACGGGGCCCGTGAGCACCCTGTAGTTCCAGTGCCACTGCCTTCGCAACAGGCCCACCAACCAGGTACTGACGTCACGTGTTACAATGAAGGAAACCGAGGTACATGGAAGCAAGCAATCTGCCAAGACCAACTGAGCAAGAAATGGCAGCCTTAGGGCTCAGCGCACTGCTCCAGGAGGCTGCTCATAGACCACACCTGGAACACCAAGGAGGCAGTCACATCAGTGAGCCAGTGCTTAACACACCCCCTCCACCACCATCACCACCACCACCACAAGCTGCAGTGTCTGGGTCAGGGTGGCTGAAAGGGTCCTGGAGACATGCAACATGATCACTATTGAGGATCCAGCCCCTTATACTCTGAAATGCTCCCCCCGACACACAGCTGCTCCCACAAGATGACACTCTCCCCAGCTGCTGTCTCATGCCCTCCCAGGGCTGTCTACTTGTGTAATGGGCAAACATCACTACCAGTTCCACAGAGACCAGGAAATCTGTCTTCCAAGGAAAGGAGAAGAAAGTGGGGGGAAAAGCATAGAAAATTCATTAAACTCGAGCCACTGGGACCAAACGGCAACTTAAAGATCCAGACTCAGCCTCGTTCCCTGTAATTTATGGTTCAGGTTTGCAGTAACGGCAAGGTTAGGGATTAAGGGGGCTCAGGGTGAATGTCACTGAGGAACAGCTTCCTGCCGAGCAAGGCTACATGTTCTCCAACTTACATTCCTATGAGAGCAGTTCCAGCTTGTCTTGGAGAAAGAGACCAGTGGCAAACCAGAAGGGGCAGAAGAAGAGGGAGGTGGGTACCCAGGTTCCAGGCCGGACTGACCACAAGCGAGTCCTTGAGATTGAAAGGCACCCACGAACCATAGTACACAGGCTACCTCCAGGATAGCAGGTGAAAAACACGCTAGCCCTAAAATATCAGGATATCTCATACCTGGCCCTAGATACACAAAACCTACATGGTCCTTGTACTTCCAAACTCCAGGCTGTGCCCACCTGAGGGACATTTCCGGGAGATAAAAAAACTCAGGAGAGACCTCAGGAGAACTGCTCCCGGCACCGGCCCAGCCAGAGGTTCCCGGCCTCTATAGGATCACCCAATTAGAGGAGAGGTTAGGGCAGACAGAGTACAAAGATCAGCATGCCACTTATTAGCTGAGTGACACAAACCAGTTGCAGCTTCCCTCTGGGCTCATTTCCCAATCTGTGAAGTGGAGGCAACAGAAGGCTGGAGTTTACAAAGCATGAGAGGGAAAGGGTGTCGTGCATGGTCCCAGCAGGAAGAGCTAGCGAGCACTGCCCATACTGTAGCCCCTTACAGCGCCACCGACGCCACACCAGATACACCAGGCACGTACTAAGGGCTGGAGTCTTCAGACACTGGGCCTGACCTCAGGACCCTCCTGGTTTCCGGGAGACATTTAACCACCTAAACACTGAGTTTCTAAGATAGCAAACAGGGCGCAAGTGCTGTGGGTAGTTCACCAAGGCTTCCCATAGCGAGGGCACCTAAGGATAACCCTGAGCCCAGCACATATCCCCAGACTGCAACACCAGGGCAGAGGTGCCATGCCCTGAGGATCTCCCTTGTGCTGTGCCACCAGCCTGAATCCCTTTCCCTCAATTCTCTGTACCCACATGGTGTTCTGCCTGCACCTGAGTGTCCTAAGCCCCTCTCTAACTCTGGAGAGAGGTCAGAGTCACGCAGGACCCAGCAAAGGACTCAAGGTCATGAATGACTTTCACAAACTCATTTCCCTTTTAGTACTCCCTACAGCCCAGGAGGATTCCATGGATGTCTGAAGGAACTCTGGGCTTCCCACCCACGGGAGCACCCCAGGCCTCCTGGCAACCCATTTCGGAATTCCCTCTGCCTCCAGGTGAGGAATCCCCGGCTCTCACAGAACTGCAGGACAGGGCTGCCAGGCCAAGACAGACAAACTAAGCAATGAATGAGTTCCAGGTATGTCCGAGCGCTGTCTGTGGGCTGCATGGGGCCCAGAACGGCTATGAATGAGGCCAACACAAATCATAAACTTGTTTCAGACATATATGGGGGGGGGCTCGTGAGCATTAACTTTGTAGGTGACAGTGTCCCATCACAATGTTAGACCATCTAATAGAGACCCTGCAAACACACCGTGCTCCATCTCTGGAGACTCCACAGATGGGGGGACTTGTGAGCATTAACTTTGTAGGTGACAGTGTCCCATCACAATGTTAGACCATCTAATAGAGACCCTGAAAACACACCGTGTTCCATCTCTGGAGACAGCGCAGATGGGGGGGGGGTGAGTACAGAATGGGGTTGCAAGTGCAGAAAACCCCTTAACGGCAGGTGCTCAGAACATGCAGCCCCGGCACATCTGATTCCTCTCTGAGTTTGCGCACTGAGACAATAGGAGGGAGAGAGATAGCCAGTCTCCAGGGAAGAAACACATTTCTCAGATGTGATAAAATTGGGGACAGAAGTTTACCAGGAGGCCCAAGGGAACCTCAAGCTTGGGAGAAAAGTAGACACACAGGCCAGAGGCTGCCAATAACAAACTAGGTCCTGGGCAGAACCAGCCGGTCCCAGCCAGGGCCCCTCCCAGCCTCTATCATAGTTAGGCTCAGGGTGAGCTATTTCCCTTTCTTGACAGAGAGCTGGGTAATCCCACACTGGCCACATGATCCCATTCATATGACCACAGAAGGCTGTAGAGCTAGGCCAAAGGCTCTGTCATCGCTGTGGGGAAATGACCCAGCTCGGCCTGTATGTAGTAGAGGGGGGGAAAATCCTCGGAGGAATTAAGAAGCAGGGGGTCACTAAGAGATGGGGAACCAGCTCTCCCCTGCAAGTCACACCCTAATCAGGGGGCTATAAGGCGATCTGAGTCACAAGCCCCACTGTTTGGAGCCACCCAGCGAGGAGCCCAAAGGCCAGGAAAGAGGAGCACAAGGACACCACCTGCCCCGTGCCACTCCCAGCAACTCCACAGAAGGAAACGTTCCAAGAGAAAGGCCACCAACCATGACCAACAGACACCAAGACAGTTACCGGGCAGCCGGGTAGCCTTCTAGAAGGCAGAGGGTGCACAGCAAGCATTGTAACTCAGCCATGCAGAAGCCCCAGCTTCTGGCAGGGACACCAGAGAGAGGACAGCCAAGGCTGCCTCTGCCTTGAGAGCAGCTTGTTCAGCTGCTGAGCCTGGGGCTCCTTCCTCGTGTCCTCCCCCATCGGCCTTCCTCTACTTACTCGGCCAGCTCTTCCAGGCTTCGGTAGACATCGTCATCATTCTCCGCTGTCTCCTCTGAGGGAAAAGGCCTGCGGAGAGAAGGCAAAAGTGAGGACAGCGGATCTCTACATCCTTGCCACAGTGCGGGCCAGTCCGCAGGCCACCCTAGGCCCCACCTCACAGCAAAGCAGCCCGGCTTGTCAGTGCCTTCTACCATCCTGCATGACAGACCAGCCCTCTAGGTTGGTGGGCTCAGGGAAGCAGTTCCTGGGCCATGGGTGAGTCAGCCTCAGCTGGTCCCCAAGCCTCCATACCCCATACTGAGGATATGAAAGCATATGAAGGATCTGATTCAAGGGCTTTTGTCCTCTGTCACCACACTGCCATTATCGACACAGCAGCCATACTCTGGAGGGCTATAGGAAAAGTGTGAGGGCCTCCCAGGGTACCTTGAGCTACAACACAAGGTAAGCAAGTGGCCCGTCCCGGTCCCCCCAGGAGGGAAGCCTAGAAGGCTGCCCGGTTACCTCCTGTTCTTCAGAGCCTGCAAGGACAACAGTGAAGATAGGAAAGGCCCTAATGAGCTCCAACCCATCATGACTACCCATCCACAAGGGCGTACTGTCCTGTGTCCTCCTATGACAGAACCTTGGGAGCAGGAGCTGTGTAGAGATATGGCCCTGAAGGGCACCACTGGACAGCTGTGATCCCCAAGGCACGTGCCATCACCACAGCCTTTAGTCACCACATCACAACTCCATTAGCAGCAGCCTCCCTAACGACAGTCCCCTAAGTTGACCTATACCTTGTCAGTGTAAGACTCTAGCCCCTTCTGGGGGAGGGGACATTCATCTTACAGCCATTCCCATGATACCATCTCCTCTTGGGGATCCCCCACCAAGAAAAACTCCACTCAGGGAGAGTGACAACGAACTCCGTGCAGTCAGATCCCAGGGATGCTTCCAGCCACTGCCACCTCCTCCTCGTTCTCCCAGGTAACCGCGGCTTTATAACTCACTGTCATCAAACTGGTTATCCTCAGGTCTCCTTGATGGCCTCTTGCTTCAGCAGCCCCCACAGTTTATACCCCAATAAGCAATTAGAGCTTGCCGTCAAGACACAGGCTGACCTCATCTCTTCCGGGCTTTGGCATCCAGTGGCTCCCACCTCTCAGAGACAGAACCTATCCCAGCCGAGGCAACATTTTACCAGCCAACACCCGCTCTTCCAAACCAGGACATGCTCAACTGGTGGAGAGCCTCAGAGGGGAGGCCCAACCTGGAACATGCCTAACACCAACGTCCCTATCACCCTCTTCTCGGCACCCTACCGCAGTCCTCCACCTGAGGCAGACCATGTCTGCTTGCTTCTGGGTCAGCAGCCCCTGCAGCTTCAAGCAACAGAAAAGGAGGAGTCATCACTCATCCTGACCCTCCCCCCATGACCCTGGGACACAGTGGCAACTGCTGGGGACGGAGCATTGGGGAAACAATATCGGCAGATCAAAGCTGGGGAGCAGGGTGCAGCTCAGAGTGTGGGGTATGGGATTGGAGCGAGGGGAGTCATCCTGTGTCACACCCCCACCCCCATTTCCTGCAGCGAGGTCTGGGAAAGCTTTCCACAGCCTAGGAGACAACTGACTCGGAGTCCTTTACCTATCTCAGCTTGGGATGTTTTGTTACTTTTTTTCCATTAAAATCTTACTAGGCTGTGTTTGGACGTCTCTGCTAACTCTGTCCTCAAGACCCATCTCAGAGGGCAAAAGAGTGGGCTGAGCCTCTAGGGAGTGTCTCTATTGACAGGGAAGGCTGAGGAGGTATGGGTACGTGGAGAATGCCCACGAAGTTTCAGAGACTTTGAGCCATACAAGTGCCCACTGCAGGACCTGTGGCCCAGTAGTGTGTAGCTGAAACACACATGCTAAGCAGAGATGGCCTCCAGGGGGGAGGATTCCCAGACTGAGGAAGTAACTGTATGCATTTAGGGATTTGGAGAGGACACAGAGGAGTTCAGAACATGCCATGCCAAAACATGCCTCTTTTGACATACTGGTTACTTTAAGCTAAAAGAAATAGAATTAGCCAAGGCAGGAAAATGCTCTTGACCTCCTCCAACTGGGTGAGATAAGAGACTATGTGCAGCTATTTCCTCTGAATGGAAACGGTCCTTCCTAGAGAGGAAGTGGGCTCCCAAGACTAAGGAAAAGGAAAGACGCAAGGCCCAGGAAGTGAACAGAGCAGAACAAAAGTCACTGGCAGGAAGTTTCTGAAAAGTAAAAGATTTACAAGGCTCCTCCCCCAATGTCGTATAAGTAGTGACAGGTTACAGAGATGGCTCAGCAGGTAAAGGAATTTGCCACCAAGCCTGATGACCTTAATTCAATCCCAGGGGACCAAATGGAGAAAAGAGAACCAACTCCTGCAAGCTGTCCACTGTATAATAATAACAATAATATAATAATAATAACAACAACAATAACTAATAATTCTAATGATAAGTAGTAACAGTTGCTGGGGAGAGACCACACTCAGACCGGCCGAGCTGACGGCAAATTGGACAAGTCGCTCTCCAGGACACAGCTTTTGTGAGTGAGCTGTCACCCATGCTGGGTGGACTTCTCAATAGTACAACTGTCCTTGGATCACCGACTCCTGGGGGTGACTGCAGTCATCTCATCTGTCACTGGCACCCACCTGGGGTGAGCAGGCATCTGTCCACATTTCCCCAGGAAAGTTACATGATGAGAAAACAGCCTTCATCTTACAAAAGAACTCACGTTTGGAAAGACAGTGTGGATGGAGAAGGAGGCGGGTTCGAGGAGAGGGCCACTCTGAGGCAACTCTTGCCACGCAAGGGTGGCTTTCTTCTCCAGACACTCCTCCGGCCCTTCCCTAGACCCACCCACTCACGCCATGTACTTAAAGCTCGGGATGACTATGCAAGCTTTGACCACAGACCCTTTATCTAATCTCACACTATTGTGTGGTATCTGCACAGGTGTTCCAAACTAAAATTGTTTTGCTTGAAGGGGTAAAAAAAAAAAAAGGATAACCCTGTTTCTCCCATTAATCCGCTTTGCACCAATTTAACACTAGGCCAGCCCAAGAACCTAGAAGGAGCCGAAACAGCGATCCCACTCTCCACCTGCTGCCCGGTCCTGGGAGGAGGAGGAGGAGGAGGAAGAGGAGGAGGAGGAGGGAGGAGGAGGAGGAGGAGGAGGAGAGCCCACACTACTCTGCGGGAGTGAAGCACAGGCCACACCCCTGGAGCATCCTAAAGGCCATAGGGGAAGCAGATCAAAGGCAAGAGAAGGCAGCCAGTACCTTCAAAAGCCACAGGCCAAAGCTACTCATCTCCAAGAGACAAAGGTGCCCCTTTAATTAAGTCAGGCAGCCCCTCCAGGCCCCAGGTGCACGGTCAGGCAGGAATCAGCTACAAATGGGAGGCCCAGCTGGGGACTGGCCTTGGCTATCCACACTGCCTGGGATCCCCTCCTTGCCTGGGGGACAGCTGACATTTTCAGTGTATGATGATTCAGCAGTGATGGGCTCAGCTCAAAACCTCACCTCCCCATTCTTATAGAGCCACCTCCAATCAGAGCAACTGCTATAGAGCCACCTCCAATCAGAGCAACTGCCACGCCAGCCAGCGTGCTCTTTCTGCAGGTTTAACTTTTTATTTTTAAATACTTACATTGGGGGCAGGGGGTTCATAGAGATCTGTTTGCCTCTGCCTCCCAAGTGCTGGGATTAAATGTGTGCACTGGTAAAATATTTATTTTTAACTGATAAGAGCGCACGCTTGTGGAACAACATACAGCATGTAGGGATGCTTTTTCAAAAAAGGATAAAGTTACTTCTATAACGCGAAAGGAAATATCATCGTGGTTAATCCTGAGGGTTAGCTTGACCAGATTGATGACAGAATCATCTAGAAAAAAGGGAAGCAGACGCTGGGGTGTCTCTGAATGTGGGTGGTGCTGTCCCACAACCTGGGGGGCTGGATGGAGTAATAATGGGAGAAAGGGGAGCGAGCCTGTAGCACAGGCATATTCTCTGTGTGTATATGTGTCTCTGTTTCTCTGTGTACATCTTCTTGGTGTCTCTGTCTAGGTCTCTCTCTCTCTCTCTCTCTCTCTCTCTCTCTCTCCTCTGCTCCACCATGCCCTCTCTACCACAATGGGCTAAAACTTGCAAAACCATGAGCCAAAACCCACTCCCTCCACGGTTGTTCCTTTCAGATACTCGGTCACAGTAACCAAAGTCAGACAAGCACCATAAACGCTTATTTATGAGAAAATAAAGCTTCCCTCATACATAATATAAATGAAAAATTTTAAAGCCCCATTAAATCCTACAAAAGTGTGATATGTATAAAATGACACGGTGGGAAAGGGCTGGGGTGCAACTTTTAATGTTGAATGCAGGTCGACACAGCCCCGTGCAAACTCTTAACACAGGGTGTATATGGGTAAAGGTCCTGTCCTTGGAGTCTACACTGCCAATGTGGCAGAGAAATAACGGGCTCTCCATTTGTGTATGTATTTCACGTGTGTACATGTGTGTTCAGGGTGGTGGTACACACCTAAAATCCCACCACTATTATAGGGAAACAAGACTCACTAGAAGTTCACAGTCCAGCTAGCCTGGTGTATGCAGTGATGAACAAGAGACCCTGCCTCAAACACAGTGAGAGGCCAGGAGCAGCCCCCAACACTGTCCTCTAGGAGACGCAGGAGTGCCAGAGCAGGAGGTACCGAGTTGGTGCTAGGCATCAAAGTCTTGTTTCAACCTCTGAGTTCTTTAACAATCTTGTACATGTGGCTGCCCTAAATGTCTCCTTTCTGCATTTTTTAAGAGTTGCTTTCAGTGTTGGTTCCCCCCCCCTCTTGTCATTTCCTCCACCTGCACTATGCAGTGGACCTGAAACAGGCCTGTTAAAGGTGTGAGAATCACACCACTGCCCGTAAACCTTTACTACTTACTTTTATTGGAGCATCACTAGCTGGGGCCACAAAGCCCTAGAGAACGGAGCTACAAATCCAATTAATTTCTGCCACAGCCAAACAAAGACAGGCGACTTGCCTGGG